CATTGACTCAGTGGACATGAGTTTGAGCAAACTCTGGGAGATAGTGAAGGACAGGGAAGGCTGGCATGTTGCTGGCATGGGGTCACAAAGAGTCAGACACGACTTAACAGTTCAACAATGAAAATTATACTATATCACAACCAAAGTGGTTTACTCTAGAATGAACCAGAAAGAACCAGAAGAACCAATCATTGCAGTTCAGCAAATGAAGAGAAAAATAAAGTGATCATCTCAAAAGATGGGAAAAGAAGATTGATGAAATTCAATAATAATGATTTTTTTTAAAATGACCTCAGCAATCTTGGAAAAGGAACAGTTAACTTCCTAATTTAATAAAATATATCTTTAAAAAACACTTAAAACAAATGTTATGCTTAATGGTAAAATATTGAGAACTCTACTGAGATCAGGAATGAGAAAAAAGAGAGACTTGCTATTAGCATTTCTACTCAATATTGTACTATAGGTCCTGGCCATTGCAATAAGGCAAGAAAGAGATAGGTATAAAAATTGGAAAAAATAGACACCATATTCTCAGTCAATATGACTGGGCATGAAAAAAGTAAAAAGAACCCACTTTTTCAGAATTTCAAATTTTCAGAATTAAGTGAGATTAGCAAGGCTTCTGGGTACAAAAAAGAACCCTCAAAAAAAAAAGAAATGTGTATGACAGTTCTGTTCATAACATTCTTGAGCCTGGAAATAACACAAATGCCCATCAATAGGTAAATATATAAAGAAAATGTAGACGATCCACACAAAGGAATATTACACAGCAGTAAAAAAAAGGAATAGATCCATGATACATGTGTGCCACTGAATGCTTAACACTCAGCCTCAGACACCCTCAGTGCCACTCTAATGGGCTCCCTCCTTCAGCGTTTCTCCTTTGCAATGAGCACGATGTTAAGCTTGTCAATAGAAGGCGCTGGAGGGACACTGCAGAAGGAAGGGGTTTCCTGGGTCTGCTGGGCTTTGTCCCTCCTTTCCTCCTTACCTGTCCTCCTCCTCCTCAGCAGCTGTGACCACGACTACAGTGGATCATCACTGTAGGATCCTGGGGCAGATGCTCCGCCTGAGGCTTTGCTATGTGTCTCCAACCATGAGAGCAGCTGGTCTGTGGGTCCCAGACTTGATCAGCCTGATAGGGTGACCAACTCATGCCAGTTTGTCCAAGACTGGCCCGGTTTTAACATTGAAAATCCCACAATGCCTTCAGACCCGTGGAAACTGGGACACTGATTTACCCTACAAACCATGCTCCTCAAACATGAACTAAAGAGCTTTTAAGTGGGAGGGAGAAGCCCAGGACTCTAAGGGCATCTCTCTGCAGTTAACAGGAAGGACCCCATCCTTGCCAGGATCACAGCTGGCCCGCAACCATGGCTAATGCCATCCTTGGCTGCGTCTCCACATTCAAGTTCTGTTACCGTCTCCTCCTTTCCCTGTCTTCTCCTTCAAACAAGCCAAGGAAGTCAGGGGTGAGAGGGAGGCTGTGACAGTGTTAGAGGGGGTGGTCCTCCAGCTGTGACTCTGACAGAGACCATCACATCTGCCACCCAGGCCCTTGCTCACTGGGGACACAGGCCAGTGTTGGAAGAGTGGGGTGATCATTCAAGACAGGCACCTCCAAGAGTCTCTCAGGATTTTGGGGGAGGCTGGGCGTCGGGAGGGCTCAATCCAGCCCCAGGTCTGAGTCCTTGATTCTCTGATCCCCTCAGCTCTGCCCTTCTTTGCATTTCAGCTTCCTCGTCAGGCCAGTAGCAAGATACGTGCCAGATAACTGAGAAATGTTTTCAAAGTGGTGCCCACGCCTGGCTGCACCCAAGGAAGCAAGTGTCTTTTAAGCGGCCGGAGGCGGGCTCTGAGAAGCTCCAAGTTGCATGAATACCTCAGGTGATGCTAACGCACTTGTGAACTCACCTGCAGCCTCTCATGGTGCTCCTCCACACGCACCCACACACACCGATCATTTCCAGGTGACCCCGATCATCTCCAAAGCCGGTAACTTGTCCATCCCCACCGGCAGTGTGCGTGAGTTCCCGTTGCTCCACATTCTTTCAACACTAGGAGCTGCCAGGTTGTTAATTAAATTATTGCCAGTCTGGGAGCGTGTGGCACTGTCCCAGTACAGTGTGCACACCCCCTGTTACTAAGAAGGTAGAGCTTTTTTAATATATTCAGTGGGCTGTTCATGTTTCCTTCTGTAAAATGTCCAATTATGCCTTGTTCACACTTCTCATGTGCCACACCACATGTGGCAATGATCTGCTCAGAGGTCTTAGTTATTTCTGATTTCTATTAGCAGTGATTCGTTTTTATCTGTTCGTGAACTTCATCCACACCAAATCATAACATCGAGTCTTCCAGGCCTGGCTGTGAGATTCACTCGCACTGGGGCCTTCATCAGGGGCTTGTTCTGTTGTCACAGACCATCTACCTGTGTAATATCCCACAACACATAGACAGTGTTGTTCCCAGTTTAGGGCTAATACGAACACAACTGCTGTTAACAAGCTTGTATACAGATGCACACATTTTCACTAGAAGAGGAATGCCAGGTCGAGGGGCGGGCGCCCACGGGTAGCCTGGGTAGATATCTGCTTCACAGTCTTCTGAATGGTTAAACCAATGCTCCTGCCCCCCAGTACTGCTGGGGAGTTCCAGTGTCTCCATCTTGGCTCCAACACTTTGTGATGACAGTCTCGTTAAAAAACTGGTGGTGAGTGTGCAGGCAGCTCTCACTGGGACCCTCATCTGCATCTGCCTGATTATTAATAAGGCTCAGCATTTTCCCTCCAGTCTTCTTGCCTGGAGGATCCCATGGACAGAGGAGCCTGGGGGACTACAGTCCACGGGGTGGCAAAGAGTCAGGCACCACCGAGCCACTGAAGCACCACCACCACCTCGCAGTTTCCATCTGCTGTAGTTAACGGATCGCTCGTGTTTCCTTCTGTGAAATGCCTGCTCCTTGCTGCCTCCACTTTCCTCCTTTGGCTGCTTGTATTTGGGCAACATGGAGGCGTTCTTTGAGTGTCCTGGACAGTGCTCCCGTCTAGTTAAATGCACTGCTGACCTTTCTTCCCTGCTCTCTCTCTACCCGTGGGAACTCTGTGCTTTCCCTCCAGTCTCCCTGCAGAGATCATTTCAGCTGAAGCCCAGGGCCCCCAGGGTCAGCTGACACTGCCCAGGCTGCTCTGGGGTCAGCTCTCCCCTGTCTCTCTCAATTTGGATTTTCTTATCATTTTTGGTCTCTGTGTGTTTTTCACTTTTTCTTGCCAGCTCAGTCATAAGTTTAGGGTTTTTTTCGCTTCACTCAGAATCTGTAGGGGTTTGTTTTAAGAAGAGTCGACAGGATATGTAATCTGACATGTTGCCAAGGATGGACATCTCCAGTTACTTTTGAATTTTCATGTTCTAACTACAAGTTTGTGTGTGCTCAGTCACTCATTCATGTCCGACTCTTTGTGACCCCATAGACTGTAGCCTGCCAGGCTCCTCTGTCCATGGGAATACTGGCGTGGGGTGCCATCCCCTCCACCAGGGGATCTTCCCAACCCAGGGATTGAACTCATGTCTCCTGCATCTCCTGCATTGGCAGGTGGGTTCTTTACCACTGAGCAACCAGGGAAGCCCCTCTAACTATAAGGATCCTCCACAAAAGCCATTCAGTGATCCTCAGGGCTCAGGTCCACAGACACTGATCAACAATAGGATGTTTGCTAGAAAAACAGCCCCCCAGGTGCCACCCTGAATTTGCTGAATCAGAATCTCCAGGGACGGGGATGTTCCAGATGATTCTCACATACTAAAGAAAGTGCCTCTCCCAGAAGGCTGCTGGAAAATTACAAAATTACATTCTTGAAAGTGGCTAAAATATTTACACCTAGAAGAATGAAGCTGGACTCCATCCTCACACCATACAGAAAAGTGAACTCACAGTGGACTATATGCCTAAATGTGAGAGCTAGAACAGTGGAACTCCTAGAGGAGAAAATATAGGAGTACATATGTTCCGGATTACCAGGCAAAGTCTTCTTAGATGTGACACCAAAACCAGAACTGACAGAAAAAAAAAATAAATTGGACTTCATCAAAATTTAAAACTTTCATGCTACAAACTATATCATTAAGAAAATGAAAACGCAGCCCACAGAATGGGAGATCATTTACATATCGCATACCTGATAAGAGTTGTGTCTTTAGATTTACATAAGCACTCATATCTCAATAATAAAAACATCAGAAACTCCATTTTTAAATGAGCAAAAGGCCTGTATAGACACTTCTCAAATGAAGACACACAAGCGGCCTGACACTTAATATCAGCCATCACGGAAGTGCAAATCAAAACCGCAATGAGCTACACTTCACACTCACTGGGATGACTATAAAGGCAGACAGTAACAAGCTTTGGCAAAAATAGAAATGGGAGCCTTCGGACACTGACGGCCGGGGTGTAAAATGGGCCAGAAAACAGTCCAGCAGTTCTTCAAAAGGGCGAACACAGTGACCAGGGCACCCAGCAATCCCACGCCCGAGTGTGCACCCAAAGAAATTAAAACACGTGTCCACACAAGGACTTGTTCACAAATGCCCATAGCAGTGTTTTCCAGAACACAACTCAGGAAAAGTACACACAACTCAAAATGCCCATCAGCGGATGAATGGATAAACAAAACATGGAACATCCCTAGAGCGGAATAATTGCTGCTGTTGTTGTTTAGTCGCTAAAAGTGAAAGTGAAAGTCACTTAGTGTGACTGACTCTTTAGTCCATGGACTTCTCCAGGCCAGAATACTGGAGTGGGTAGCCTTTCCCTTCTCCAGGGGATCTTCCCAACCCAGGTTCGAACCCAGGTCTCCCACATTGCAGGCGGATTCTTTACCAGCTGAGCCACAGGGGAAGCCCAAGAATCCTGGAGTGGGCAGCCTGTCCCTTCTCCAGGGGATCTGCCTGACCCAGGAATTGCTAAGTCATGTTCAACTCTTTGCAACCCCATGGACTGTAACCCGCCAGGCTCCTCTCTGTCCATGGGACTGCCTAGGCAAGCACGCTGGAGTGGGTTGCCATTTCCTCCTCCAGGGGATCTTCCCAACCCAAGGATTGAACCCCTTTCTCTTACACTGGCAGACGGATTGTTTACCACTGCACCACCGGGGAAGTCCACAATGGAATATTATTCCTCAGTGAAAAGGAATGAAGTACGAATCAACTACAACGTGGATAGACTGAAAACTTTGTGCCAAGTGACAGAAGACAAACACAGCAGGCCACATATCCTGCGCTTCCAGTTACATGCAGTGACCAGAGTAGGCAAATCTAGAGACAGACAGCAGATTAGTGGCTGCTAATGGTTAGACGTGGGGGGTGGCGAGTGCCTGCTAATGGGCACAGGGTTCTTTGTAGGGGGTAATAAAATGGTCTCCCACATTGCTGGCAGATTCTTTACCAGCTGAGCCACAAGGGAAGCAAATAAAATGTTCTAAAATTAGTAAAAATGGTTGCATGACAGTGTGAAAATACTAAAAACCAGTAATATACTTTAAATGAATGAATTCTTATTTTAAATGAACAACTATGATATGGGAATTATATCTCAATAAGGTTGATGCAGCTAGAAAGTTTATATTGCTGCATCTTCCTCCATCACACACCACTACCTCCAAGGTCTGGTGGCTTTGCAGAGAGCATATAAAGTTATCACTGCGAAGGAGACCCCAACACAGGCACACCTGTGGTTCAATCTCCCCATCGATCCGAGGCGGCAGGTTCGATGCACCGGGCCTGAGAGCGGGTCCCTGCTTGTTCTTCCTCTCCACCTGGAGATCAGTGGAGGGTCCCGCTGTTTCTGAGTATGACTCAGTTAGTGCTCTGTTGGCTATTTTCATGTAAATTACACGGCAGTGTCATCCTGTCCAGGTGGGAAAGATTTGCCAAGGCAACAAGAGCTTGACAGGAAACACTGGACTTCACCACGTGGGCATCACCAAAACCCAGTCTGTGGTTGAGCAGACATGACGGCTGAGACCCAAGCTCAGCCCTCTCGTCCTGGGGAAGGAGTGACCGCATTGGTGCCTCGGTAACTTATTTGATGGCCCTGAATGGCTGGTGGGGAAAAAAAATCAGGAAAGCGTTTTGCTGAAGAAAGGTGCCTGGCTTCTGTGATGACGCGGGTGTAACTCCGAGGGGACTGTGCTCGGTGAAATCGACCTGCCACAGAGGACAAGCACTGCGTGATTTCACTTACACGCAAGATCTGAAATAGTCACAGAAGCTCACAGAGCAGGGAGCAGGCCGGGGACTGCCAGGGGCTGGGGGAGGGGAGTGGGGCGCTGCTGTTCCCCAGGTACAGAGCTGTAGCTACCAGCGAGGAATAAAAATTCTAGAGAGGCGCTCACAGCAATAAGACTAGAGTCAACACTATACTGTACGCTGAAAAATTTAAGAGAGTAGATCTGTTAAGTGTCCTTACCACAGGTTTTTAAAAAGCAGGTTACAGGGCAGTATATACAATCAGTCCCATTGGTGTATTCATACCACTTACCTGTCCACCTGTCCATTAACTCATCTGTCCATCCACCCATCCATCCATCCATCCACTTCAAACTTTGAAATCTGGTTATCTCCAGCAAATGACACCTAAGGGTTTTATTGTGGAGAGGATGGGAGTTTCCCTTCCTTAAGGATGAGCTTCTGATGTGCTGTTTGGCTTTTTTAAATAAATAACATTTTAATAATAAAAATAATCATGTTTCAATTTTTTAATGGCAGCATTGCCATGATCAACTCATAGCCACTTTTTCCTGTACCTTCAAACTCTCTTGTGCCTCAGAAGTCAGCCCCCAAGCCACGGTCACCTCCCCAGGGGGTCTCCTGTGAGTCCTGACTACGTTTAAATTCCCTGACGCCTGCTGCCTGGCCCTGGGCACACACTCTAACTAGTCATGCCCTGGGCCCAGGAACCTTATCTGATCCCCTACGGAAAAGCTGGCTGGGAGGGTGCAGGGCTGTTTCGGGGGACCGAGGGGCAGAGACAGATCTTAGGAACTATTAGAAATTTAGGTGGTGTCTTTTTCTCTCTCATTTCTGTCATTTTTTTGGTAAAATGTAAGCCTCAACTCACTCCAGTATTCTCGTTTGCAGAATCCCATGGACAGAAGAACCTGGTGGGCTACAGCCTATAGGGTCGCAAAGTGTCGGACACAACAGAATCGACTTAGCAAGCACGCGCACACACAAAGCTTCAGTGGGGCTTCCCAGTTGCCACTAGCAGTAGAAAATCCACCTGCCAATGCAGGTGACGTAAAAGACACAGGTTCCATCCCCCGGCCAGGAAGAGCCCCAGGAGGAGGGCCTGGCAACCCACTCCAGTACTCCTGCCTGGGAAATCGCATGGACAGAGGAGCCTGGCAGGTTACAGTCCATGGGGTTGCACAGAGACACGACTGCAGAAGCGACTTAGCACACGCGCACACAAGACTCATTAGGACAGAGATTTTTGTCTTTTCCCCCTCTGCTCTGTGCCCAGTGCCAGGGCACAGAGTAGGCACTCAACAAGTACCTGTGGAATGAATGGGGCAGCAGGCACGGGTCTGCTTCTCTCTTGGTTCCTCCAGATGAACTTGCGTTGCTCTGCTGTGCTACACAAGGGCCAGACAGACCCCCGCATCCTCTCCTTTCCTCTCCTTTCCCCAAGCACAAGGAGAGAGGGACCCCTGCCCTGGCTTCTCTTCCCAGATTCCTGGGAGAGAGAAGCTGATTGGCCGGCTCAGAGGAAGCACAGGTATACAGACGCCTGGGCTCAGCAGCGGCAGCCAGGTCTGGGTCCCACAGGAGACACAGCTGCGGGGTGGGGATGGGCAGACACCCCGAAGGAGCCTCTAGAGCATCTGGATTGCCCAGTGCCGGGGTGGGGGCCGCAGGGAAGGGAGCCAGGGGTGGTGTAAGAGGGAGGGGAGAGCTTGTAGTGGCAACAGGATAAAAGAGGCCGGGGGTGAAGGAGGGGGCTGCTTTAATGACGACAAAGGCACAACTGTTCTCTTGCAAGTTAACCTTAATCAGACCTCAGAGGTTAACTTCAAACACAGCCCCTCATCTGGAAGTTAACACGACATTTGCCCTCCAGCCACAGGACTGGGCCTCTCCTGGCCCGGAAAGCCCCCAGATCGGCATCACTGCAGCTGGGACCGGATGGTAGTGTTCTCCAGCCAGGGGCTGGGAGGAGGGGTGTGGAGGACGAATGTCATTTGCTCGTCACTTCAGAGGGAGCGAGCTACACGAGCAGGAGCATGTTGGGCCAACCCCAGCAGCCCGGGACCACGCGCCCAGGCGCCACTCAATGAAGCCTGAGCCTTCCGGCTCTGCGGCAGCGCCAGAACCCAACCGAGGCCCTGCCACGGGGCATCCGGGTCGCCGGGGCCCTTGGGAGGCGGCGGGGAGGAGCGCCTGGAGACGTTTGTCCACCTGGAGCTCCTGGGGTGGGAAAGGCAGTGGCCCCGCGAGCCCGGATGCCTTCAGCAATCCCGACAGCGACTGAGGGCAAAGCAGAGGCCTGCTGGTCATCTCCTGGAGTTCTGGGAGCAGTGAGTGACCCAGGTCCTGACCCCGGCTGCCATTCACTGCGTGCAGCCGTCCACAAGTTACTGGGCTCCTCTGAGCCCCAGTTTCCTCATCTAGGGATAAAAAAAGAACAACAGCCCTGACCTCAAGGAGAGCTGTGAGAACGCCAATGAGAAGAACTGCATTGCTGGCGCATGTACAATGTGCCAGGCCCTATTTTTAGCCTTGGTGTGTGGATTCATCACTCCATCCCACAGTATGTGCCTATTATTGCCTAGGAGGCAGCGACCCTTATTTTACAGGGATCCAGAGAGGTGAAGTAACTCAGGCCACACAGCAGCGTGGGGAGCCAGGCTGCTGGGGCCCACAGCCCAGGCTCTTGGCGGGGACATCACCGGCCTCACAGAGCAGGGAGGGCTGCTCTATGGGGAGCGGGGCAGGCGGAGAAAGAGGAGGCCGTGCACAGAGCAAGTGCGGCTATGTGAGCGAAACAAGCGAGTGTCCGTGATGCCCTGAGCTAAGGATCTGCATCTGGATGGGGTTCCACTGGAGGGTGAACTGAGACTGCACTCTCTGGTGCCCGGGACGACACGCAGCAGGGCAGGCAGAGTAAGGGCAGTGACCCCTGGCTAGGCTGGTGCTGGCCACTTCCCGATCTTCTGTCTCCCGCAATTGGGGGTGCTGGGTACACGTGGGCAGAGTTTCATCGCAGCAGCCTCGCCCTGTAGTCTGGACCCGAGACCCCTCCTGGGGCCTCCGGGGCCTGAGGAGTCTTCACGGGCAGAAGCCCAGGGTCAGGGGGCCTCGGGGAGAGATGCCCTGTTCTCTGTGGGGGTGGGGAAGGGGAGGGGCCGGGGCAGGGGAGGCCCTGACGGAGTGTCAGGAGGAGGCACCCAGTACATGGGCAGGATGGAGAGAGAGAGTCGGGGGCTGGGCCATTAGGCACGGGGGAAGCACCGTGGCCAGGGTGCCGCCTCTAGAGAAGGGGCCTAGTCCTGGGAGGTCTGGCCAAGGCCATAGGGGTTCACCCTGCCATCACCCGGACAGAGGCCGGAGGGCAGGCCCGGAGGCCTGCCTCCATGGGCCCTAGCTGCCGGCTGGCCACAGTCACAAGTCGTTGTGGGTCAGATCTTTGCTGGGGGGACTCTGGGCTGCCCTAGGCTGGAAGGGGCTTCAGCCATTAGACCCGGAGTCCAGAAACTCGAGTCCTTGTCTTGGACCCTGGCTGGCCAGGCTCGCTGAGGCCTGCAGGCGGAGAGCACCAGAGTGCTGGGTTGAGGTGTAGCCATGGATCCGAGACCGCGGGCAAGTCACTCACCCTCTGCAGCTTCTGTGGGAATCATCCAGTCCCTTTCTAACGAGGTAAAATAATAATAACAATCGGGGGTGGGGGGAGCTCGTGAAAAAGGATCAAGAGCTCTGTCACCCTGAAATGTCACTGCCCTGTCCCCGCAGGGTCCCTCCTGTGTGCTGTGGGCCCATGGGACCCAGAGGGGCTATTTCAGTGGGAGCTGAAGGCAGGCCTTCCAAGGGCCTCCAGCAAGTCTCAGGAAGCAGCCGCGTGTGTCTAGACTGCACTCACCCGGCAGCCACTTGCCACATGCGGCCGTTTACACGTAAACCAGTGAAGCTCAAGGACAGCTGTAGAGAACAGGCCCTCAGTGGCGACGGCCACGCTCCCTGTGCTCGACAGTCCCCTGGAGCTCACGACCGCTGTGTCGGCCGCGCGTCGGTCATTCCAGAGAGTTCTGCTGGGCAGGCTGCTCTGGAGACAGTGGCTTCGGCAAAACCACATTCACGGAGAGCATAGTGCGTGCCAGGCTCTATGCGGAGAGCTCTACCATATCATTTCATTTCAGCCCGAAGAGCCCCGTGAGGCAGGGGCTATTTTCACCCATCTCTGCTGCGAGAAACGAGGAGACAGCGACAACCCCAGGGTGCCCAGCGCATGCACGCTGGAGCCACATCGCATCCCAGGTCTGACCCGGCCCACCACAGCCAGCCTCACTGCCTCCCCGGGCTGTGCTCCCAGACCCCCAAACAAGGCCAGCTTCCGGCCACCTCCAGCACACATGGGACTGTACCCAGCACTTTATTGGCTTGGCTGACCTTCCAGAGGGTCTGGGGTGCAGAACTAACTCCGTCCCCCCAGGGATGCTCCCAGCTCAGAACCCGTCAGGGCACTTTCTTGGGTAGGGGGTTAATGATCCCACTTTCAATGTATTCGAAGACTGTGTACGGGTCCTGGTCCCCATTGAGGGTGATGGCCTCCCCATAGAACTGCTCCAGCTCAGCAGAATTCCTGTAGAACAGATCCATCTTGAGCTTGATCTGCTCTTCCGACTCCTTTGGGTTCTGCAGGAGACGGGCCTGGACTTCCATGGTTGGAGGTGGCTTGTACATGAGGTGGTATCTGCGAGAGGAGGGGAAGCTGGTGAGCCTTGGTCCAGCTCAGAGGACAGGCAGGAAGGGGCCCCTTCCCAGGAGAGAGGCTGGACCCCATCACCACCAGCTGCAGACATTTACTCTGCACCAGCCGTGTGCACACCCTCGGCTGGGCCGGGAGCTGCAGAGAAACCCAAAGCATGGCCCCTTCCCAGGACAGAAGGCCGTAGATCAGTAATAGGACAGAATATAGTAAAATACTAAGGGCCAAATTCCTTTCATTCATTCCTTCCTTTCTTTTCTTCCTTCCAAACAATATTGGGTACCTGCCACGTATGCCCGGCACACACCCGCTACTGACAACCCAATGGCAGGCGAGATGTCGGCTCGGTTTTCATGGAGCTCATGGCCAAATGGCGGGTGGGACATGACAATACCAAGCATGAGTGGAGACGTGAGGAAGTGCCCTGGTCACTGGGGGCGAGACCCCAGGGGCGGGGCAGCAAGAAGTCCATTTCACTTGACACGGGTCAGTGAGAGGACGTCCCCCAGCATACGGTGACGGGAAAATCCTGGTGCTTCCTTCCCACTCCTCCTCCTCTGTCCTGAGAAACGCCGTCTAGTTACCAAGAAACAGGGCCCTGGTTACCAGGAAGATGGGGGCTTCAACCTCTTCGCAATCGTGGGGACTATAAACTGTGTTTCACCACCGACACAGTGATTGGACTTGGTCGGATGCAAGGGAAAGCCCAGGATTTGGCCCCCATAGCCAAGTGAGGGCTCAGAGGTGACACTGTTCCCAAGGGGACGCGTCTGCTCAGCAGCCACGTCCAGGATGCGCCGTGGTGACAGCCGAGGCCCCGGCGCCACGTCACGTGCTGCGGTCAGAGCAGGCGAGCCGTCTAACAGCTGGTGTGCAGCCCGCACATCCACAAGCAGGTCGGCAGACAGCGCGGAGGAGCAGCGGGGTGAGCCCCCCTTCCTAGAATCTCCTTTCAGTTGTCCCCAGCAGTGTCCCTGGAGCAGCCCCACCCTGGCGCCTGTCAGCTAGATGGAGGCGGGGGGGGGGTCTCTGGTGGGGCGTGGTCTCTGGAGCCCTCAGAGGGCTGCCCACTGCGGGGCTGGCACAGACCTTTCTCCTGTGACCGGGTCAGTTCTTCTCAGGGTCAGCCGCTCGATGACAGAATCTAATGGCACGTTCAGGAAAAACACCCTGCAGGGGAGAACAAGCACCATGTCGGCAGGAGGGACCCGCAGGCTGGACTCGAGGCCAGGGTGGGCTTCAGCCCCCGAGAGTGGGCAGAGCCTCAGTGCCTTGACTCGGGGCTTGGGGCACCAGGCTCTGGCCGGTCGCCAGGGAAACATGCAGGCGGGGCCTCCCTGCTGCGGAAGCTCTCCACCTCCTGATTCAGGGACAGATCCCAGCCGCCATTGCTCCTGGGGCAGTGGGGGGTCATCCATGGGGGGTGAGCTGTGGGGAGCAAATGCCCCATCCTTGGGGGAGACCAATGAGTTCCGCGGAGTTACACAGATACGGGTTAGAATCTCACCTCCACATGAACCTGATGTGTGACCTCGGGTCACTAACACAACAGCTCTGAGACTCAGTTTCCTCATCTGCAAAAGTGTGATAGTTGCTCAGTCGTGTCCAACTCTTTGTGACCCCATGGAGTGTAGCCCTCCAGGCTCCTGTCCATGGGATTCTCCAGGCGAGAATCCTGAAGCAGGTTGCCATTCCTTCTCCAGGGGATCTTTCCAACAAAGGGATCAAACCCGGGTCTCCTGCATTGCAAGTGGATTCTTTACCATCTGAGCTAATACTTGCTGGGCTTCCCTGATAGCTCAATTGGTAAAGAATCTGCCTGCAATGCAGGAGACCTGGGTTCGATCCCTGGGTTGGGAAGATCTCCTGGAGAAGGGAAAGGCTACCCACTCCAGTATTCTGGCCTGGAGAATTCCATAGACTACAGTCCATGGGCTCTCAAAGAGTCCACTAGTGTTAAAGATGGGCTTCCCTGGTGGCTCAGTGGTAAAGAACCCACTTGCCAATGCAGGAGATGCAAGAGACACAGATTTGATCCCTGAGTCGAGAAGATACCCTGGAGAAGGAAATGGCTACCCACTCTGGTATTCTTGCCTGGAGAATTCCATGGACAGAGGAGCCTGGTGGGCTACAGTCTATGGGGTGGCAAAGAGTTGGACACAACTGAGCGACTAACAGTTCACATATGTCAATTCCAAACTCCCAAGGTATCCCTCCCCTCATCGCCCCTGTAACCATAAGATTGTTTCCTACATCTGCGACTCTGTTTCTGTTTTGTAAATAAGTTCATCTGTTCCACATTTTTAGAGTCCACATATAAGCAATATCATACGGTGTTTATTGTCTGGAAGCCCTTCTTTATAGGAAACCTGAGGGTGGATGTTCTCGGTCAGGGCTGAGTTTGCCCTGAGATGTTTGACAACCTAAGGGGACGTTTTTGGTTGTCACGACTGGGGAGGGGGTGCAGCTGGCACCGAGCGGGTGGAGGCCAGCGTTACAGCTCAGCATCTCACTGCGTGTAGGACAGGCCCCACCACGAAGAGATACCCGGCCCTGGGGTCAGTCATGAGACAAATGGGACAGGAGGGAGGCGTGTGCCGGGGGCGGGGGGTTGGGAGGAGGCCAAAAACCAAGTGTTCTGACTCCTGCCCACAGGTCTAATCCAGGCCCTGCCTTCTGGGGTCAAACCATCTGAGTTTGTTTTTTTCTTTAATAAGTTCTGGAATATTCCGTCACTCACTTTACTGTTTTTTCATTGCTGTAATTCATACGTGCATTTATGGAGTGCCCGCTGTGTACTTAGAGCTCTCCCGCCTTCACTCTTGGGTGGGAGTCTTCAGGATGGATCCTCTGCCTCCCCCAAGCTAGTGAACAAAAGAAGGCCCTGCCCCTCCCCTGATGTGTTGATGGGGCTGCCAAGAGGCCAAACTCTGCTGGGTCCAACAGGGCCCCGGTCCCCAGGGGCCCCAGACCAGCCTCTTGGGCCCAGGTGTCACTTCTAGGGCCAGATCAATGGTCAGCCCCTGACCAGTGTCCTGAGACTGGGAAGCTCTCAGGAAACATGTGTGAAGGAAAGAATGAATGAATGAGTGGTACATCCTCCTGTTGTGGTTTAGCCGCTCAGTCATGTCTGACTCTTTTTTCAACCCCATGGACTGTAGTCTACCAGGCTTCTCCTTCCATGGGATTCTCCAGGCAAGAATACTGGAATGGGTTGCCATTTCCTTCTCCAGATCTTCCCGACCCAGGGATTGAACCCGGATCTCCTGCACTGTAAGCAGACACTTTACTCTCTAACCGACCAGGGAAGACCCCCCCCCCCTCCAAAAAAGTAAGCCAAATGTGAGGCAAATACTCTCCGTTCAAGACCGGCATCTCCCACTGCCTTTCTCCTTTTTGCCTTGTTTTGCCCATGCTGTTTGCTGAGGCTCACATCTGCCCAGTTGCCAAGGAGCCCCTCCCTGGTATCTGGTGACAGCTGCAGCCACCCCTACACCAAGCGAGCCCATCCCCTGGGCGGGGGGTGGTGGCCGCAGCCATGGAAATCTACTTCTTCCCCGCACATGTTCTCGGCAAAGATCTCCATTCCCAGGATAACAGCCACCAAATAAAACATGTAAGATCGGGAGCGTCGGAACACAGGGCGCACAGGTGTTTTCAATGTGCTTTCATCCCTTACGCTCCAAACATGCTGCCCCCCCTCAACCCCCAGAATTTGCGAGGCCCAACAGCAACACCGAGATGCGGCTGTCACTGCGGCTGGGGGCTGATGGTGGAGCTCTGGATGCCGACGCCAGTAGAAAGGAAGCTAGTTTGGAAATCTGTGATAATGGATGCTGCTTTATAAACAAACAAGCCCCAACTGAAAGATTTGTAACCCAGCATATGAAGACCATTTGTCGTCATTCAAGAGAAAGGCTTGTTAAAGGCTGGCGAGATCAGAAGTGCGCAGACACCAAATTGGTACTTGCAACACATCGTTGGGAAAAAGCTTGCTGTGGAGGAGCTGGGCTTCCAGAGGCTGGAAGCTTCTGATTAGCCAGGCTCATGCACCGGGATGTCAGAGCCAGGCGGTGGGGAGACGAGCGGGGAGCCCACTCCGCTCTGTGGAGGTGCGCGGCCCTGTGCAGGCCCCCACCTGCTGGTTTGGGGTGCCATGCTGCTCATTCACAATAACAGCCAGGAAAGACAGAATGTGAAAGCCGAGAAGAGTGGGAGCAGGGGGCGTCGGGCAGAGACACTCCTGGTCCACAAGCCTGGGTTCACCAGGGGCAGGAGCGCCAGCTGCCTTGGGGTTTGCAGAATGTCAGGGCTGCCTCAGGAGGGAGATGGAAGGCGCCTCTAATCCCTCGCTGCTCCAAGTGGGATCCCCAGACCAGCAGTAGCAGCTGGGACTCAAGCCCCACGGCCCACCCACTGAACCAGAGACTGGTGTTAACAAGATCCACAGTGATCTGTACGTCACTGCGGGAGAAGGGCCGCTCTGGTCCTGTGTTTCCCAGATTTGTCTGATGTTAAGGATCATTGGGAGGGCTTATCTAAAATACAGATTCTGACCCTGAAACTGACACAGATTATAAACCAGCTACTGTTGTTGTTGTTTAGTTGCTCAGTCTTGTCTGACTCTTTGTGACCCCATGAACTGCAGCACGCCAAGCTTCCCTGTCCTTCACTGTCTCCCAGAGTTTGCTCAAATTCATGTCCATTGAGTTGGATGGTTGCCATCCAGCCATCTCATCCTATGTCGCCCCCTTCTCCTCCTGCCCTCCATCTTTCCCAGTATCAGGGTCTTTCCCAATGATTTAATACAAATTATTTTAAAAAATAAATAAATACAGGGTACCCCTCCAAGAGTTACCAAGCCAAAACCTCCAGGGGAGGGACTGGGAAGACCTATATTTGTAAGTCAGCAGCTCAGGTGATTCTCATGCTTGGGCAGGTATAGGAAGCTTGGCTGTATCCTCAGGTCTCACTCTGGCCAAACCTTGGAACCATCAGGGGAATTCTGAGAATACTGAGACCTGGGCCCCAGCCCTCGAGATGCTGCTATAACTGGCTCCAGGAAAGGTCTGAGAATGGAGATTTTTAAAAGCTCCCCAGTGACTGTAGTATGCAGCCAGTTCTTAGAATCACAGCTTTGATCCAGCCTGCTCTGCGTGCAAGATGGGGAAATGGCCCCAAAGAGGGGAGGACTCACATGCTGCCACCCAGGACACTGATGTCAGGTGCCCGATGACCGCTGGGCTCTCTTGACCCACTCTTGTCATGACTACAATGATATTCCACTTCACACCCATCAGGAGCGCTATTATCAAAAAAACCAGCAAATAACAAGAGTTGGTTGATGAGGATGCGGAGGAAGTGGAAGCCTTGTGCCTTGCCAATAAGAATGTAAAATGCTGCAATGCGTGACCAGCCTTTCCAATTCTGACATACACCCAAAACAAGGGAAAGCAGAGATTGAACAGATATTTGCACACGTAAGTCCACTGCAGCATTATTCACAATAGCCAAAAAGCAAAAACAACCCAAATGTCCATTAGTAGATGAGTGCATAAACAAAATGGGACATAAACCCACAATGGACTGTTAGACAGCCTTGAAAAGAAATGGAGTCCTGACCCCTGCTACAATATGGATGAGCCTTGAAGACATTACACTAAGCGACATAAGTCAGACACAAAAGGATAAATATTGTATGATGCCACTTAAATGAAATATTCAGACTAGTCACATTCATAAAGACAGAGGCAGAATGGTGGGAGCCGGGGGCTGGGAAGAAGGAGAAATCCCAAGTTGCTGTTTGGTGGAGACAGTTTCAGTTTGGGAAGGTGGAAAAGTCCTGGAGATGGATGGCGGTGATGAGCTGCACAAGAATGTACTTAATACTATTCAAAGGTACGCTGAACGGTTAAAACAGCACATTTCATGTTATGGGTATTTTGCCACAATGAAAAATAAGCACTACAGGACTTTTCTGGTGGACCAGTGGCTAAGACTCTGTGTTCCCAAAGCAGGGGGCCCAGGTTCAATTCCTGCTCAGAGAACTAGACCCCACACGCCACAAAGGAAGACTGAAGATCGAAGATCCTGCATACTGGAACTAAGACCTGGCGCAGCCAAATAAATACAAATAAATAGATATTTTTAAAAATACGCACTCTGGTGTA